GGGGCAATGCAAGCTCTACCAAACATCCACACGACTCTCGGGAACCACCCACACCCAGCTTCCCGCCCTATGACGTCAGGACACTTCACTTCGTGGCGCGCGGACGATCGTGGATACTACACTGGCGTGGAGTACACACCCGCAGAGGTTAATCACTTGTTTGGGCCCCGCATGTGCCCCGCATCGTGCATTTGTTGCGCATGATATGAGAGCAAGACAGAGAGAGAGAGAGAGCAAGACAGAGAGACAGAGAGAGAGAGAGAGAGAGAGAGCAAGACAGAGAGCCAGAGGAGAGCTACGGTGCGATTCGTGTGATTTTATGATGCGCGGTGCTAAAATTCTTAAAAACCCAATGTTTTTGGAGATTTCGGCGTGCGCGCGCGAAGAAAAAACGAATATGTCCCGCATGGTATTATTTGACAGGGATGATGGCCCTGGCAGGTGCGCAAACGTTGTCGCAGAAGTTCGAAAAAGTTGCTCGCAAAAGCCCGTTTGACAGAATTGTTTAAAAAGTGTTGGTTTTCCTACGAATCCGCAAGAGCGCGCGGAAGAACATTTTGACAATTTTTTCTTAAAAAACCATTGGGTTTTTGATGTTTTTATGTTAAAATCGTTACGAAACCTAAGGTTTTGGAAGGATTTCGTCTTGCGCGCACGAATGTCCACTTTACCTTATTTTTTGCAAGGGATTCTTGCAATTTGATCAAGTAAGAACAAGAATTTTCATTTTATAGTGTTTTTTGCAAGGGAAAACGGAGTACAACAAAACAACCGGATCCGGTAATAATTCACTTTTCTGAAGCTTTCGCTAAAAAATGATGAAAATGTAGCTGCGGCCTAGGTTTTGGAGGGGGGTCGCGCACCAGGGGTCCCAACAATAATTATTCTTTAGAAGTAATAATGTTCAACAACAACAACAACAACAAACACTACAATCAACAGCAACAACAACAGCGACAACAACAGCAACACCCACAACATCAACAACAACAACAACAACAACAACAACAACAACAACAACAACAACGACAACAACAACAACAACAACAACAACAACAACAACATCAACAACAGCAACAGCAACATCCTCATCATCAGCATCTGCATCAGCATCAGCATCAGCATCATCATCAGCATCGTCATCATCAGCATCATCATCGTCATCGTCTTCGTAGTCGTCATCGTCATCATCAGCATCATGATCATCGAACATCATCATCATCATCATCATCATCATCATCATCATCATCATCATCATCATCATCATCATCATCATGATCATCATCATCATCATCATCATCATCAGAATCATCACCATCATCAGCATCAGCATCAGCATCAGCATCAGCATCATCCTCATCATCACCATCATCAGCAGCAGCAGTATCGGCAAGGTCATCATAGCCGTCAGCACCAGCTGCATCATCAACATAGTCATCAACACCAGCATCAACAACAATACAAAATAACGATGCTATCATAACCATCGTCATCTATGTCATCGTCATCACCACATCACCACTACCCACATCATCATCAGCAGCAGCAGAAGCATCAGCATCAGCATCAGCATCGTCGTCAGCAACATGATCATCGCCGCAACCATCACCACCTCCATTACCATCATCATCGCCACCATCACCAGAATCACAATCATCATACGTACCATCAGCATTGCAAGGAATGTCGACATCATCGTCATCAACACGACGAAATGATCACCATCACAAGCATCCCCGTCATCGTCATCATCATCAGCATCAACATCAGCATCATCATCAGCACCATCACCATCATCAACAATATCGTCGTCGTCGTCAACAAAAACATCACATGATCAGCATGATCACAGTCACCACCATCATCCCATCATCAGCATCACATTAACCACCACATCATCATCACCATCATCATCATAATCATCATCACAATCCTCCTCATCCTCGTCCTCCTCATCATCATCATCAGCAGCAGCAGCAGCATCATCTTCCTTTTCCTACTCCTCTTCCTCTTCCTCCTCCTCCTCCTCCTCCTCTCTCCGTCCTTTCCTCCCTCCCTCCTTCCCTCGGGTATACGGGTGTACGCATGAGTACACGCGACCTTTCGATGAAAAGAGATGGCATAAAAGCAAAATGAGCCTAAGGTTGCGTGGGAGCCCAAGGAGAAGGAGGAAGACCGAGAGATGCGATGTTGCGAAACAACATGTTACATCGCCAAAAGAACACGACTGGCGCCCTAGACCCTATTCTTCTGCGGAACTTATCGAACCCTGTCGATCTGTCATGGTGCAGCGGCCCGAAACAAGGCAAAATCGCCCGCTGCAAAAAAAATGCGACGCCAGGATCTCAGGGAAGGCCGGGATAGAAGCCTCCCAAATGGCGTCCTACTAGATGGGGTCGAAGGATCGCGCCGCATCGCCGGTGCATCGGCGATGCATCAATCGGGCTCCATATCGAGCCGCATCTCGGATGCATCGGCGATGTGGCGCGATCCACCAGCCCCATCTACTTCGATCTCCTTTGGGAGGCCTGGACGAGTCGGGGGCGCGCAAACATGGATTAGCGATCCATGGATTTGGCACGCCGTCGCCAAATCCACAGATCGGGGGAGGTGCCCCCCCCAAAATGCGGCCGGTGCCGCCTCGCTCGGCGGCGGAAATCCGCGATTTCCCATGGAACGGGAACCGTCGCTAATCCACGCCCCCTTGATCCATGTTTGCGATCGCCTGATTTGGGAGGCCGGGACGAGAGGAGGGAGGACAAAGGGCTCCCTCCCCCCTCCGCCTCTGAGGCCTAGACAAGCGCGCTCCACGACTCGCACAATGAACTACTCGCAAATGGCCTGAATCCGCCGCGGGGGAATTTACCACTCACTACATCGAGGCAAACATGTTGCGTTTTTCGAACGCGTTTGCGAGCAAGCACTTTGCGACTAAAGAAACGCGCTCGGTGAAGGTCGGCGCTGGAACCCCGCCGCGCGCCAGGGGCGGCGCCGGAGGCGCCGCCATGGGGGGCCCAAGAAATCCGTGCGGACCTCCGAGAAATCATGTTTATGCCGTTTTTTGCCCTTCGAACGAGGCTCCCTCCTCCTCCCCCCTGCGGCGACTCCGAAGGGTGTGGCTTGCAAAGGGTGCGGTTTCCAACTGGCACCCTGGGGGGCACCATGGGGGGTCGGGCGGGGACCTCGACAGTCCTCCGCCGCACCCCGAGGAGGCCCGACGAGGACAACGTCGTACCCCCTGGGCCCCCACGGCGCCGATCGCAGACCGCACCCCGGCGCGACCGCACCCTCTGTAGTCGCGGACCCCACCCCTGCACGGGTTCCCCCAGGGCCGTGGGCGACACGACGAGGGGGAGGAGGAAGAGGAGGGGGAGGAGGAGGAGAAGGAGATGGAGGAGGAGGAGGAGGAGGAGGGGGAGGAGGAGGAGAGGAGGAGGAGGAGGAGGAGGAGGAGGAGGAGGAGGAGGAGGAGGAGGTAGGAGGAGGAGGAGGAGGAGGAGGAGGAGGAGGAGGAGGAGGAGGAGGAGGGAGGAGGGGGAGGAGGGGGAGGAGGGGAGGAGGTGAGGAGGAGGAGGAGGAGGAGGAGGAGGAGGTGGAGGAGGAGGAGGGAGGAGGTGGAGGAGGAGGAGGGAGGGAGGAGGAGGAGGAGGAGGAGGAGGAGGGGTCGCCTAAACTCTTCGGAGTAACCCTCCACCTGGGCCCCCACGGCGCCGATCGCAAACCAAACCCTGGCGCGACCGCACCCTTTGTAGTCGCAGACCCCTCCCCTTCAGTCGAGCATGTCCTACTACAGGCGGATTTGGAGCGAAAAATGAAAAGTTGACAACAAATGCTCAAACACTTTTCAAAAATAGGCGACAAATCGTCTGTAGAGGGACAGGCCCGAGGGGGAGGGGGAGGAGGAGATGGAGAAGGTGGAGGAGGAGGGAGGAGGAGGAAGAGGGAGAGGGGGACAACAAGATGCCGATGCACGGTTTCCCCCCAGGCAGTAGGCGACCCGAGGAGGGGGAGGAGGAGAAGGAGATGGAGGAGGAGGAGGAGGAGGAGGAGGAGGAGGGGGAGGAGGAGGGAGAGGGGGAGGAGGAGGAGGACGAGGAGGAGGAGGACGAGGAGGAGGAGGAGGAAGAGGAGGACGGGTCGCCTAAGCTCTTCGGAGAAACCTTCCACCTGGGCCCCCACGGCGCCGACCGCAAACCGCACCCCGGCGCAACCGCACCATTTGTAGTCGCGGGAATGTCCTCCTACAGGAGGACTTTGAGCGAAAAATCGAAAAATTGACAAAACAAGGTCAAACAATTTTCAAAAAGAGTCGTACAATCGTCCCCATACTATTCTTGACTACTTTTGAATATTCCTCCTGTAGAGGGACAGGCCCGACTTAACCCGTCTAACTGCACCGACCTTGCATATGTGCTACAGCGGATTGTGGCATGGATTTCTGTCAAACGAAGTGAAATTCGCGTGAATGTGTTGTTCATCTGCATTCCCAACCCCCAAAAAATCCGACCGGAATTCACCTCGAAATTCAGAACGAAATTATCCAGGACACTCTGTGCCCATCCCATCGTTTTCCGAACGAGATCCGCTCTGCGAAGTTGGTCGGGCATGTCCCCCTACAGGCGGTTTTTGGACGGAAAATAAAAAATACCCAGAAGATGCCCCAAAATGATCAGAAATACCGAAAAATCGTCCCCTTATACTATTGTTTGCCTACTGTTGAATATTCCTCCTAAAGAGGGACACGCCCGACTCAAATTCTGTGGTCGTAGACCCCTCCCCCCGCGAAGCGCCGCGCAGCGGCGCGCGGCGGTCACGGCAGCCGCGACGTCACGGCCACCCGCCGAGGCCGCCGCGCCGCACGGGCAGCAGCCCCACGGCCGCCTCCTCCGGGCCTCGGGAGGCCAGGCGGCGACGGGGGGCCCCCGGGGCCGTAGGCGACCCGAGGAGGAGGAGGAGGAGGAGCAAGGAGGAGGAGGAGGAGGAGCAGGAGGAGGAGGAGG